CAACTAAACTGAGTGAAACTCCTGTTATCTGATATTATCCTACTATAGTAGAACTACTCCATTTTCCAAAGTTTGTAATACAGGATTATAATGAGAAAAAAGAAAACTCAGGATAAAACTCGAGAAATGGGAAATGCACAATTTTCCCTAAGGAGTTTAGAAATCTTTTAAAATTCATATTAACTAATGTTTATTTTGGCTTAGGCACCAAAACCATGTATACCAAAAACAATTGAATCTGTACACCAGGAAAAGGACTGAGATCCAGGGTGAAGCATTTTTGCTTTTGTCTGTTTCCGAGAAATGTGAACTCTTAAGATAAAGCCATTATCTGCCTTCATTATCCTTGTAAATTGCTAGAGGGTCACAGCAAATCAATACCTTGGAACTCAACACTGTTGCGTAGAGTCCCTCCATCGTAGAGCAATTTAAGTCATACTTCTATTTAACAGAAGGGACAGATTTTGGAGAACATGTCTGTTCTGGCTAAGAATGATCCATGCAACTCTAATATTAAGATCAGGATACAGCTGCTTGTGACTCAGCCCAAGCTCACTGAATAAGGATTTGCAGAGCATTGCATATCACAAGACATCTGTTTCCTGTTTTCACTCTTCCCTTTATCATTCTCTCCCAATTTCCTTTACCTATAGGCCACCTGTAAACCCACAATTAAGCAAGTCTTGCGTTTTGACTGTGTGTTCTTTTCTTCTATGCCTGATGTCAGGTGGTTTAGTCCTACTTTCAGGTGAGGGAACCCAGGGCCTTCAGTACATTCTGAGACTGGAAGGCTGTAGCCTGTGCAGCCCACCTCTAAGTGACTAACTTCCTCCCAAATTTCCCAAGAACTTTTCCTGTTGAGGAAGTACCCAGCCCCTTGAAAGATACAATAGTAAACCACATCACAAAAAGAAAACATTCTGCAGCACAAATAAGGCAAGGCAATAATGTACTTAAGGCCAGGCACACAAAATGGTATTTCTTGGGTTTATTTCCACACTTCATACTCAGATACATAACATCATCTGGTTTTTTTTTATTGAGTTTATTGGTACATTTTAGGGATACAGTACATTTACATTCATTGTTGGTATCTTGTACCTCTACATGACAAGTCTTGGTTCTCATTTTTTTCCCCTTGTCCCTGACCTCCCTTCAGCCCCTCCTCCCCTCCCCATCTAAAACCACTTTATTTCCATCTTTTCATTATCTCACATTTTTCTTTTCCCTTTTTACCATTCCCCTACCCATCCCACCTTCCCTACACCTTTAGCTCCTTTCTTCCCATTTCTCAATGTCAGTAATCTTATTAGGATCTTCTGTATTATTGCAGATTATTCACACCAGAGAAACTATTCGGTATTTACACTTATGTGCCTTATTTACTTCACTTAGGAGTATATCTTCAATATGTATCCATTTTCCTATGAATGAATCTATTTTCTCATGCTTTATGACTGAGTAATATTCCATTTTATAGAAACCACATATCTTACATCTTCTTTATCCAGTTTCCAACTTATGGGCAAATGGGCTGTTTCCAACTTTTAGCTATTACAAACTGTGCCGCTATAAACATGGGTGTGCATACTTCTCTGTGATATGATTCTTTTAGTTCTTTTGGAAAGATACCCACCAGAGGGATGGCTGGGTCAAATGGAATCTCCAGTCCAAGCTCTTTGAGGTATCTCCATATTGATTTCCATAGTGGTTGTACCAATCTGCACTCCCACCAACAATGGAGAAGGGTTCCTTTCTCCCCACAACCCCATAACATCATCTGTTTACACCTAAGAAAGTTCATTTCTGTGCAAATAAATTGAGGTCAAAGTAGTTTTCCTAGGGCCGGGGATTTAGCTCAGTGGCCTGCCTTGCAAGCGCAAGGACCAGAGTTCAATCCCCAGTATCAAAAAAAAAAAAAAAGTAGTTTTCCTCGGCCCAAGGCAACATCTTATCATTAACCACTTAAAAATTTACACCCAGCATCACTGGGCAGGCATTTGTTTATGAACTGACTATCCTGGACTCAGGCAGGTGTCATTTCAACCAGTTTATTCTTGTATTGAATAAATGTCATAGAATTTTTATTTTTATATTACCTCTTATAAAAATTAGTGAAAAATAGTCATTTTGGTCTTCCTGTATTTAAAGGAATAATTGAAGTGATAAGTGGTTAAGGTATTACTACTGCTAGGGCTGAGGATATAGTTTACTGGTACAGCCTTTGCCTCACCTGTTAGGAGGCCCTGGGTTCTATCCCCAGCACTGCAACAGACACAAAGGAATTACAACTGAGACCATAGAGTTCATTTTATACTGCCCTTGTATTTTACAGATTGTCAATGCAATTTCATAGAGTTTAGGAAAAGTGAAGTAACTTGTCTAATACATTCCATTTTAGTTTAAAATAAGGAAATACATAGGGCCAGGGATTTAGTTCAGTTCACTGTGCCTGCCTTACAAGTTCAAGGTCCTGAATTTGATCGCCAGTACTGGAAAAAATAAAATAAAATAAGGAAACAATTAAAATACCTTAATGGGAAGTACTCAGAGAAGTATAGTTATCTGTAAAACATTTTATATAGGGATAAGAGTGTTAGGGTGCATGCTTAGCATTCACGGGGCAACTGGATTCAATCCCTAAAACCCACATAAACTAAATTATATTTGACCTAGCAGGTAAGCTCAGAATAGTACATATATATCTCCTTTTGACTAAAAAATTTTTAGTTAGCCACCTTTGGAAGATAAGCCAGGGACAAACAACCAAGAGCATGGACTGTGTGCTGTTTCTGGACTTTTTTTCTTTTTGGTACCGAGGATCAAATTTGGGTCCTTGTGTTTACCAGGCAGGCAGCAGAACCAGAGCTAAATCCCTGGCTGTTACTGGATTTTAAGGTGTGTAATAGTTAACTGTGTCAACCTGAGTAAGAAACACCCAACTAAATTGGATCTGTATAGTTCTGGGTGTGGCTGTGAGAATTTACTGAAGATTTGCCAGGATTTACTGCACATGAGTGACAGCAACCAACGTACTTCCCATCTGAATGGTATAAAAGGGAAATGAAGAAGGAAGGCTTGCTTCAGTTTCTTTGGAGGAGCTCGAGTCTTCAACTTCACCTTGGATGTTGTCTCCTGGTTTCCAGCCTAGAATCTTAAACCCTCCAGCACAGACCCTTTGGTCTCCTTTTAAGGACTCACACAGGGCACTACAGGATCCTACACACAGAGCTCTACGCTTTCAACTGGATCCTTTCCATCTCCAGCACGCAGGCAGACCTTCTGCACTCTTCCACACCTAACCCTGCAGGCAGCCATTGTAAGCTAATCCTGTAAACTTATATACACCTGTGTATCTTTCATTACATCTGTTTCTGACTGACACAAAGAAACAATGCTACAAGGTCCACATTAGTTGCTGCTCGACTCAGGAGTGGGCCGGGGATTTACCCCTGCCTGCTAAGCATAAGGTTCTGAGTTTGATCCCCCATACCAGGAAAAAAAAAACTTAATGGAAGAAAACAGATGTATTCAAAGCCAGCCCTGAAGATACAAAGGCTTCTTTGTCACTCAAATCTCTGACTTAGGGGCCCCGAGAGGCAGTAAGAGTTTCTGTGGAAGAAAAAAAAATAAAAGTACAGTGAGACAATGAACAGGAAATCCTAGCACTGAACAAGTACCTTCTTTACAGCAGTTTTTGTCTAGCAGGTCATTTTCAGTTTTTCTTCTTCATCCAAAAAGATCTGACAAGGGGCAGGGAACTAGCATCTGCATGTTTTCAGGTAAAAATTACTTTTATGTAAGTCAATTCATGTGATCTGAGGAAAAGATAGTATTCAACATATGGCCAATAGGATATACTAAAACCTTTGTGTGGCAGCTCCTAGAACATTCCTTAAGAAAAGCTGGCTTATTCCTGCCAATCCCTATTTGGGTCATGAAAATGAGGATCTCACTCTTAGGTGCGAACATTTATAAGAAACCCTGGGCTCTGGTGGTGTGCAACAGAATCAGCAAGAAGCCCTTGAACAGAGTTTGGCACTCTACGAGAAAAAAATAAACTTTACCTCATCCAAGTGACACAGAAATGATATAGGAGAAATAAATGTAACTTCCAACAGGCTAGATGTTCGATACACTGAGTGGTGTTCCCCAAAGTTGAAGAATGAGTCCTAAAGTACAATGAAGGTTAAGAGTAGAAACATTTATCAGGGAGTAAGAATGTGGAACAAGAATAGATCCTGAGACAAGAGGGTCCCAGATGGGTTGCCTATGAGCCCATTTCTCAAAGGAAGTTTTACAGCAAAGTCAGGAGGGGTGGGTACAATGTGGGTAAAAACTATAATCAACCAATAAGATTACAAGTATCGTCACTTAGGTAATACTGACCCAATAGTAATGGATGACATCATTAACCTTGGTCGATAATCTGTTGTCTTAGTCTTAGAGGTTTTAGTCTAAACTGGTGGGAGAGGATGGCCCACCCCAAATGGCCTATTTCAGAAACCTCAAAAAAGTTTGGTGCCAATAAATTTCAAGCTTCTATTCATCCCTTAGGGAAGCATGCATTGTGAATTTAACCTTCTTTAGATGTGCCTCTAGCTACAGCTTTGAGGTGTTGTCCTCCATATTGACTTGAGGGCCCAGCCTGACTGCCTACTATATTTATACCTAAGCTGTCTATATCAAAAGCACTATGATTTGGAGTTCTTATCCAATGCAACCAAAACTAATCCTAACACACCGACTCTGTCACTTGGAGTCTCTTAAAAAATAAAGGTATGCTTTTAAACTTCTATATAGCCTCTAGAATTCCAGGGATTTTGTACACCACCACAGAGGATGACCTAAAAAGATGATTGTAAGTTCTAGGCTCTAAGGAGTGGTTCAATAGCAAGCCAGACTACATAATTTTGGTAGAATTCCAGGTTAGCAATATGTGAGCTTAAAAGTTAAACAATAAAAAACAATGCATAGTTTAAGTTTTAAACATTTTTATTTTAAGAAATAATCAGCCAGGAACCATTTTATTTCTCGGGAAGAATTATAATGAATTATTGAAAGATCAGTTTTAAATCACTCAAGGTAAATTAAAGCTTTCATGAGATTTAGGTACAATATATCACGGAAAAGCTAAATGACCTTGCTAACTTCTGAATCTTTTACATTAACTGAGTTTAAACTGGGCACAGTGCTGTGCAATACACTCAGCTGCTCTGGGTTTAGTCACTAGTACCACACACATACAAAAAAACAAAGTCATTGCCCACACACATTTATTCACACAATTCTGAAGCTACTCCTCAGGCTTAAGTCCATATTCCTGATCCTCTCCATCTTGCTCTGAGGCTTCTCCATCCTGACACTGGGCAACCCCGCTTCCCTGAGGCTCCTGATTAAAAGAAGCCATTACCCGGGCCAGGGTTTTGGCTCAGTGTTCCCGCTGCCTGCCTTGCAAGTACAAGGGCTCAAGTTCAATCCCCAGTACCAAAAAAATAAAGAAGCCATTACCTTTTCACCATCAGCTCTAATCTCAATGAACAGGCTTATTAATCAATACCATTCCAGGGCCAGGGATTTAGCTCAGTGGTTCTGTCGCCTGCCTTGCAAGTGCAAGGACCAGAGTTCAATCCGCGGCACCCAAAAAAATAAGAAATCAAAACCAATACCAAATTCACTCTGGCTTGTAACAATAACAAGAAAAGGCTGGAGGAAAGATCATGAAAAGATGAACTAGAAATATTTTTTAAATAGCTATAATCATCCTTCAACAGACAAGCAGCAAATTTAAATCTCTTGAGACACAATCCACAGACTCAGTTCCCCTATGCAGTCCTTGCTTCATGCATTTTATTTTCATTTTAGATGAATATATTACAAAAAGAGATATGATTACACTGACAGTTGACACCAACCCTGGAAAAGTACTATACATATGGGAAATCCATGGTTCAGTCCCTTTTCTGGTAATCTTCACAACTCTGCTTTCCTGGAAGGGAATTCATGAGCTATAGTATTTGAGGAGCTCCTCATCTACAGGCTTTAGAATTTTCTTATCTGCCATATTTACCACCCATCCAGGAGCAAGACCAAAGAAAATCTGCCTTGGATCCTTTCGAGTTCTGAGCATTTTGAAAAGTTCATCTTTGGTGATATCAGGTAGAATATAACCATACTTCCTGGCAAGTTCAAGTCTTGCTTCAGGAAATTTGCCAGGATCCGCCAGGTAACCTCGGTTCTTTGCATCGGTATAATATGGCACCAGCTCTTCAGGTGGGAGCATTCGTTTTGGAATGGGTTGTCCACGCAGAAAGAACGGAATAGGTTTGCACAGAATTTCTGATAAATAAATAAGAAATATACAAATACTGGTTCTATACATGATGATTATATTACAAATTTAATCATTTATTTTTTAAAATCTACTAAAATGAGATAATCCAGAGATGTACATTTCTAAACTTGCTAAGTAATTAAAATAGCAGCTGGGCTGGGGGATGTAGTTCAGTGGCACTGCGCAGGCACAAGGTCGAGTTCCATTCTTTGTTTATTACAACAACAAAAAAAAAAAAAAAAAAAAAAAAAAAGAAAGAAAAAAGAAAAACCACCCAGTAGCTAATCGAAGAGAAAGACACAAAGCAGAAAATTACCCAAGCACAAGCTTACCTAGACTTCTCGGGTCATAGAAGGCTGTAGTAACCACACCACCATTTTTTTCAATTGCAGCAATGGCTAGTTCAGAAGCCAACTGTACTTCAATATTAACTTTCGCCTTGAAGGTGTCAGCACCCTGTTATAAGTCAAAGCAAAACTGTTTACAGTAAATAAGTTGGCTCAAGAAAACTAACCATGTCAAGATTCCTTTTTAAACAATGTTTTCCCCTCCAAAGTACCTACAATGTAAGAGTAGTTCCGGTTTTTTTTCTTTAATATTTTTTATTGGTATATTTTATATATACAATAGTTGCATTCATCATTGGTATCTTGTACCTTTATATGACATATCTTGGTTCTTATTTTTTCCCCATTCCCCAGCCTCCCTTCCCCCCTTTACCCTTCCTTATTTACAAAGACTTTGTTTCCATTTTTTCCCTTTTCTCTTATTTTTTTCCCTTTTTACCTTCCCTTCCCCTCCCATTTGCCCAATACCTTTAGCCCTTTTCTTACTATTACAAAAAGTAATTCCTGTTTTTAAATTTCTCTATGTTGGTATCCTCTCAAAAAAATTTTCTTTTTTAGATTTAAGCCACCCTGTTTTTATCAATTTTAAATCCCTGTAAATAGGAATGACTACACTCCCATTTTATGCATCTAGTAGATGCCAATATAAGCACCCATTCCTGATAATTTACTGACAGCAAGACTGCTTAATTCTCATAATGGGATTACTGCTTCATCAGACAGGATTATTGCTTTTTCAATTTCACAGGTGGAGATAATGAAGCACAGGGCTAAAGTAATTTGCCCAAGACCACAAAGATGAAATTCTTTTTTTTAATTTTGGTACGGGAAATTGAACTCGGGACCTTATGCTGGTGAAGCAAGCGGTGGAACAATTGAGTTAAATCTAAATCCCCAGCTAAAGATAAAATTCTAATCCAAGGAATCCAAGTGGCATATGCCTGTAATCCCAGCACTTGGGACTCTGAGGCAGGAGGACTGCAGCAAGTTTGAGGCCAACCTCAGCCACATAGTGTGTTCAAGGCCTGAACTATATGACAAGACCCTATCTCAAAAAAACATTATTTGCCATTATTTGAGGGTTTGTTTGATTTGTTTTATTTTTGTAGTGCTGGGGACTAAATCCAGAGATGTGCACATGTTAGGCAAGCACTCTACCACTGAGCTGTACCTGCAGGAGCATCTGTGTTCATCTATAACATTATGATATATGATACAGATAAAATTAATCCTCCTTATATCTAAGTAAAGCCAAAGGCCAAAAGAAGGCTAAAGAAGGGACAGGAAGACCGAATCATGTAGGACAGAACATTTGACAATATCTGGGTTTTGGAGAGTTGGCTCTCTCTAGGAAAAAACGCAAAAAACAGATTTCTTTTTTCACTACTTGCAATTGAAGCCATGCCCTCGAATGTATGCTCAGCAAACACTCTACCGCTGAGCTACCTCCCCTGCCGCCAGAAATTCATTTTGCATTCATTACTATTAGTTTCTAGGCTGGAGATAACGAAAAAAAATAGAAAGTCTACTTTTCTCCCAAATGTTCAATAACAGAAAATGTAACACTGAACTTCTGAAAATAATGTTTTTAGTCACATCAATCACGACATGCTAAAATTTTCTCATTTCAAAATAAAAAGATGGCAGAATTACTATTTTTGTGGCAAAAAAAAAAAATTTTTATTTTGCTGTTTTTTTAACCTCCCAATCTGGTTTTTCTTGTTAACTTTTTATGTATTTTTAAAATATTTCACTATATTTAAGATGCATTTTTCCCATTTTTATATCTGACATTGGTGTGCAATTTTATAATCAATGGCACCTTTGAGTCATAAAATAAGACCTTATTCGTGCTTTTTAATTAGTACTCAACAGAATGCTTAACCATCTCTCTATCCTTGGACACTGGAGTCAGTTCTAGTATTTTCAATATTACAAACAGCATTTTTAGGAAGATCTTTTACCACATTTAATTTTCCTCAAGAATATATATTTCCAGGCAGGCATGGTGGTACACGCCTGTAATCCCAGCACTTGGAGGCTGAGGCAGGAGGATTGCTGCAAGTTTGAGGCCAGCCTGGGCAACATAGTGAGTTCTGGGCCAGTCTGAACTACAAAGGGAGACGCTGTCTCAAAAAAAAAAAAAAAAGAATATATATTTCCAATTGACAATTTTGAAATCAAAACTTTTGTCTTTTTCAAAAGTTTTTTAAATCTACTATTTCCTTGTAAATCTGAAATTAAGAAAAGATAAAACATTTTAATTTTTGCTAGTTTAACGGACACACCTAAAGACTATAGGAATGTGCTGATGAAGGAATGGATTTTTTCATATAACACATGTCTATTTCCTTAGATACACAGAGTAATACACTGAGGCTCAAGCATGTATTTGGTATTCTCTTCAAACTATCTCTTCTGAAAAGCTATTGTTCATAGTTATACTTTTTTTTAAGGACATAAGATTTTTCTATCATTATATGCTTCCCTCTAGTGGGCACTAGGTTTCCTGCGGCACTATATTAAAGCAGCAGTGGTGGAATAACAATATACAAAAATTTATTTCCTCATAAACTCCTGGCCAATTACTACAAACAGAAAACTTTACTGTAGTTAGAACATAATATAACATACTCCTTTTCCTTTTTTTTTTTATTACACTGGGGATTGAACTCAGGACCTTGCGCTTTCAAAGCAGGCACAGCACCACTGAGCTAAATCCAGTGGCCCAAGTTTTATTTTGTTTTGTTTTATTATGTTTTTGGTACCGGGGATCGAACTTGGGACCTTACACTTGTGAGGCAGGTGGCAACCCCACTGAGCTAAATCCCGGCCCGGCCCTTATTTTGTTTTTTGAGACAGGGTCTCACTATGTAGTTCAGGCTGGCTTTGAACTCACAGCCATTCTCCTGCCTCAGCCTCCCAAGTGCTGGGATTACAAGCACACATCACCACACCTGGCTTCCCCATAAGTGTTAATTGAGTAACTATCATGTACTAATATTTCCAAAATTGAAAATATAGCAGCCAAAAAAATGGGCATCTGAAATGAACAGACATTTCTCAGACAAAGAAGTAAAAGCAGCAAGTAAATATATGAAAAAATGTTCCACATCACTGGTCATTCGAGAGATGCAGATGAAAACAACACTGAGATTCCAGCTCACTCCACAAAGAGTGGCTCCTATCAAGAAATCAAACAAGGGGCAGGGGATTCAGCTCAGCGGTTCGGTGGCCTGTCTTGCAAGCGCAAGGACCTGAGTTTGATTTCCAGTACCAAAAAAAAGAAAGAAATCAAACAATAACAAATGTTGGCAGGGCTGTGAGGAGAAAGGAACCCTTCTCCATTGTTGGTGGGAGTGCAGACTGGTACAACCACTGTGGAAATCAATATGGAGATACCTCAAAGAGCTGGGACTAGAGGTTCCATTTGACCCAGCCATCCCTCTGGTGGGTATCTTTCCAAAAGAATTAAAAGAATCATATCACAGTGATATATGCACACCCATGTTTATAGTGGCACAGTTTGTAATAGCTAAAAGTTGGAAACTGCCCATTTGCCCATCAATTGGAAACTGGATAAAGATGTGCTTTTTCTATAAAATGGAATATTACTCAGCCATAAAGAATGAGAAATTAGATTCATTCATAGGAAAAATGGATACATATTGAGGATATGCTCCTATGTGAAATAAATAAGTCACATATGTGTAAATACCGAATAGTTTCTCTGGTGTGAATAAACTGTAATAGCACATAAGATCCTAATGAGATAACTGACATTGTGAAATGGGAAGAAAGGGGCTAAGGGTGTAGAGAAGGTGGGATGGCTAGGGGAAGGGTAATAAGGGAAAAGAAAAAAATGTGAGAAAATGAAAAAATGGAAATAAAGTGTTTGTAAATAGGGAGGGGAGGAGGGGGGTGAAGGGAGAGCAGGGACAAGGGGAAAAAAATGAGAACCAAGACCTGTCATGTAGAGGTACAAGATCCCAACAATAAATGTAGCCGTACTATATCCCTAAAATGTACCAATAAACTCAATTTAAAAAAAGAAAAAGAAAATATAGCAGTCAAATTGTCTGCTCTCAAGAAAGCTTACATTCTAGTGATGAAGACTACAAAACATAAATGTGTAAATTGGTAATAAATGCAAATGTTCATACACATTCAAAACACCGGCAGACAATGTGACTGCAAGGCAGGGCAAGGGCTCTTTTATAAAAAGCTGTCAAAAAGACCTTCCTGATATGTTAACATTTAGGCAGAGACTCAAAAAAAGTTGAGAGTATAAGCTATACCAATATGGAGAAGCACATTCCAGGATGAGGGAAAACAGTCCTGCAAGAAGCTCAGCTTTCTAAAATTAAGTAATGCTTAAGAACACAACTCAAACTGGATAAAAAAAGAGGGCAGAATGTTAACTATAGCAATCCCTTTATTCGCAGTTTTGCCTGCCTTTGTTTCCATTACTCAAAGCCAACCATAGTCCAGGATGAAGGGAGGGCAGACGAATGGGGAAAAAATAAGAACCAAGATACATCATGCAAAGGTACAAGATACCAATGATGAATGTATCTGTATTGTATACTTAAAATATACCAATAAATTTAATGGAAAAAAAAAGTCAACCATGGTTCAAAAAATTAAATGGAAGCCTGGGGATTTAGCTCAGTGGTTTTGCTGCCTATAAGGATGAGAGTTTGACCCCCAGTACCAAAAATAAATAAATTAATTAATTTAATTAAATTAAATGGGAGGGCCAGGGATTTAGCTCAGTGGTGCTGCCACCAGCCTTTCAAGTGCAAAGTCCCGAGTTCGATCCCTGGCACCAAAATTAATAATAATAATAATTAAATGAAAAATCCCAGAAATAAACAATTCAACCTTATTAAATTAAAAAACACTTATTTTACTTAATGATAGCTCCAAAAGTGCAATAGTAGTGATAATGGTAATTCAGATATGCCAAAGAGAAGCCACAAGTGCCTTCTTTAAGTGAAAAGATAAAAGTATTCCTTAAAGGAAGAAAATAATCTTATGCTGAAGATGCTAAGATCTGTGGCAAGTTATTGATGTTAATCTCTTATATGCCTAATTTACAAACTTATATCACAAATATATATATGTAAAGGAAAAACCATAGGTTTTGATGATAGTCATGGTTTCAGGCACCCACCTGGAATGAGATAAAACGGGAACTACTATATATGGAAATAAAAAATATGTTTCTATATAAGACCAAAAGATCTAATCCAAACTTACCTCCTCAACCAGTTGGACACCATAGTCCCTTTTAAATGGCTGGATGGTCACACCTCTCCCATTGACAAGCTGGGTTAAGTCTATAGGTTCAGTAGTATCAACTCGACCCAAATCAATAAGATACTGCAGTCTCTTGAGACTCAAAGGATGATACTGACGTCTGAAGCTATGAATCAAAAAAATAACAATTCTAAAATAAAGATTAATTTTCCTGTAACTTTGCCAAATCAACTCAAAGCTCTGTCCTGTGTTTTTCTCCATCATTTTTGTTTTGGTGAGGGTTTTTTTTGTGGGGGGGTACCGGGGATCGAACTCTGGTCTTTGCACTTAGGAGGCAGGTGGCGTAACCACTGAGCTAAATCCCCGGCCTGTCTCCATCATTTTTTTTTTTCTGCTTTAATTGAGTTTATTGGTACATTTTAGGGATACAGTACAGTTACATTCATTGTTGGGATCTTGTACCTCCACATTTCCATCATTTTTGATGGTTTGACAAAATAAAAAACCTTCTACCTCACAAACAAGTAATATTGATGGATTTAGGGTACTTTAGAGTAAAAATAATTTACTTCTATAAGCACCTGGTTTACTTACCCACATATATAAATAAACAAAATTATGGAAAATGTCATAATCTGAATTACAAAGTAGGGGTCTACAATGGGCCAGATATATTATCTATATCTATCTACATATAATTACTTATTGCTAATCCTTTAAGCAATTGTAAGAATATGTATAATCATCTCCATTTTGTAGGTCTGAGAATAACTGGGCCTTTTTTCTCTATTCATCCAAGCTGTTTCATTACTGAAAATGATCCAGTGAAATAGTAGCAAAAAGAAAGTTTATTTTGAAATGAATTTTAAAATTCTGCAAAATTACTCTTACAGGTAAATCTACATGAAAATCAAGGGTCTGCACTTTAAAAAGCAAAACAACATTACCTAAATGTAACTGTAGTGTATACCTAAAATGTACCAATAAACTCATTAAAAAAAAAAAAAAACAACTTACCTATGTCCTTCATTAAATCCGTATTTTGGAATTCGGAGGTAAAATGGAGTCTGGCCTCCCTCAAAGCCCAGTCTGGGCCTGGTTCCTCTTTGCCTTTCTCCTTTATGGCCTCTGCCACATTTTCTACCTCTCCTCCGACCTCTTGGTCGTCTCTCCTAAAAGAAAAGAGTTTTAGGATATTCAAATACACTTTTCCTTTGCTTCCCAAGGGCCGCAGAGATCGCACTTGCCCTACAGCGCCTCCTACATGCTGACAGTTCTCAGAGGCAACCCCTTCCCCAGCGCCAAGGACATCAAGAACATCCTGGGCAGCGTGGGCATCGAGGCAGACGATGCCCGGCTTAATAAGGTCATCACTGAGCTCAATGGGAAAAACAATGAAGATGTAATTGCCCAGGGGATTAGCAAGCTTGCCAGTGTGCCAGCCGGAGGGGCTGTGGCCGTCTCTGTTGCCCCGGGCTTTGCAGCTCCGGCTGCTGGTATTGACCTTGCTGCAGCAGAGGAGTCTGTGGAATCTGATGACGTCATGAGATTTGGCCTATTTGACTAAACTCCTTCCCCTTTACAAATAAAATCTTTTTATGTATCTTTAAAATAAAAAACAACAACTTCATTTCACCTTTTTGTTGATTTTTTTGGTTATGCCATTTACTCATCCAACCAACCAGTACTAGCTAATGCTGCTGTGTGTCACTGCTCTTCAGGCTGGGCAGCGGAAGGCACCCGGCTCAGCAACCCTCCGCTTCACGCAGCAGCCTCTGGCAAAAGCTGTCCTCCAGGACGCCACGAGTAACAGGCCACAGCCCGTGCCCCAGCGCTCTCCGATCCACTAACAGACACTTACCGGTTTCCTGGAGCCGGGACTGGGCTTTAGGTTGGCCAGGCTCACACGCGGCAATGACCGGAGCAGATCCAGGGACCGGGTCCCACCACCCTGCACTGGGCTCGCCATTACCCGCAAGCCCCAGGACCTCCAAGGACGCTGGGAGCCGCTTTGGAGGCCACGTGGTCTCAGCAGGTTGCTTTACGGCCGCTATCGCGCCCCTGTCGCGCTGCTGCAGGCGCTTTGTGAGCCTCAGAATCTGGCCGGAGTTTCACAATTCTCCCGCTTGCGTCTGGGCGTTCTTTTTTGTTTTACAAGATTGTTCTCTGTTGGCAGGCCTCACCCTCTGTTCAGTTCGAAAACCGTTCTTTTCCGCCAAACTAAAATACACTTTGAAAAAGTTGTCATTTGAAGATTTTTCAGTATTTGTTTGGCCTTGACTGTATTGTGTAAGATTATTATGAAGCTGCTATCTTCTCTAAGTTGACTGTGGAAGCCAAAATAAAATAAAGTGAGCGATAAATTACTAGCTTTTGAGCTTGGGTAATGTAAGATACAAAAATGGCACAAGGATGAAGGGAGGGCAGGGGAATGGGGAAAGAATAAGACACAAGATACGTCTTGTAAAGGTACAAGATCCCAAAGATGAATGTTAACTATTGTATACCTAAAAAGTACCAATAAACAATGAGAAAAAAAAATGAGATTGACACACACAAAAAGACTTAAGTCAAACTATAAAATGATTCTAATACCAATCTTTGAATAAAATTAAAGCTATGAATTCTCATCCATGTGTCTATATTGTTTACTCAATAATGGGGACCAGCCAGACGTGGCGCACATTTGTAATCCCAGAATTGTGAGACTGAGGCAGGAAGATTGCCACGAGTTCCAAGCCAGCCTGGGCTACATTGTGAGTTGAAGGACAGCCTGCACTACAAAGCATGACCTTGTCTCAACACCCCCCCCCAAGAAACCCTAATAATAATAATAATAATAATAGGAGCACACTTAGAGTCTGGTATGTGCCAGACGTCATGTTAAATTAGCTTTATTTCATTTGTATAACAAAATGACTCTAGGTAGATGTTATCACATTTAACAGAGAAGGTATGGCTTGCCTAAATCGGGCAGATTAGCCCAGATCTCATAAGAAGCAGCAGAGCTAGGATGTAAACTGCTTCTTATCATAAAAGGAGTATTTATATAATATAAAATTGTATAGCTACTCACAAAACACACGTTTCAACTCCAAAAATGAATGGATTTAAACACAATTCTCATAAGTGATTTTAAAAGACTGTTCCTAGCCAGGCATGGTTGTGCATGTCTGTAATCTTAAGGAGGAGGATTGCAAAACCCAGTCTGGCTGATTAGCATTTCAGGAAGACCCTACCTCAGAAAAAGGATTGGGGATGTAGCTTCACAAAGGCCTTGGGTTCAATTCCCAATACCAAAAACAAAAATTGATTCCTTTATTTTAATATTCTTTTACTATTTCACTGTCTTACAGGTAAGCTGTTCCTGGCTGGTTCTTGCTAGCAGTTACAGTGAAAGTTAGACAATTTTTTGGAGAGCAGCTATTTCCATGTTTAAACCTTTTTGAGGTTACTTTAAATCAAATGTAAATAGTTACATTTTTAAAAATCGCATTAAAAATGTTCAAATGGGAAGGAGAACAAGGGAGGAGTCAGGGGAAAAAGGACGGAAAGGACAAAAAAAAGAAGAAAATGGAAAAAAGGGAAACAAAGCTTTTGTACATAGGGAGGGGAGGGAGTTTGAGGGCAGGAGGAATGTGAAAAAAGGTGGGATGTGTCATGTACAGCTGTAAATTCCCTACAATGAGTGTTATCATTATGTATGCCTAAAATGTACCAATAAATGTTTTGTCAATTTTTTAAAAAATCATATTCATTCCTTTAGTTAAGCAATGTTTATGAGCAAGACACTGAGTTCAAAAATAAACATGAAAGAAATCAAGTAGGATTTCACTCCTGGGCTGTTTGGAGAAAGTTCCCAATATGTTTTAATATGAAAATTATTTTAGACTAAATACAAAATAATGGAAGAAAAATACAGGTATTTTAGTTCTCCAAAATGATATGAGCGTAAGGTCCCAGCATGGTGGTGTATGCCTGTAATCCCAGAACTTTGGAGGTGGAGGCAAAAGGATCTCCAGGAGTTAAGGCCTGGGCTACATAGTTAAATTTAAGCCCAGCCTGAACTGCAAACATCAAATAATCCCCCCAAATAATATTAACAATAAGAAGAAGAAGAAGAGGAAGAGGAAGAACAACAACACAAATAGAATATAGAAAAAATAGCCGAGCATAGTGGTGCACGCCTGTAATCCCAGCACTTGGGAAGCAGAAGCAGGAGGATTGCCAAGAGTTTTAGGCTAGTTTAGGCTACATAGTGAGACCCTCTCTCTCTCTCAAAAAAAAAAAGTTATTTCCCATCCTTGATGATTTTTAATTTGTTGGCTTCCATTATCTTTTTTTTTTAGAACTTTCATACTATTTTTTTCCATTTTTTTTCTTTTATTGAGTATTGGTACATTTTAGGTATACAGTACAGTTACATTCATTATTGGGATCTTGTACCTTTACATGACAGGTCTTGGTTCTCATTTTTTCCCCTTGTCCCTGGCCCTCCCTTCACCCCCTCCTTCCCTCCCCATTTACAAACACTTTATTTCCATTTTTTAACTTAGAACTTTCATACTATTATAGACAGTTAAGTTAAAATAGAAATTAATAGGCTGCCAGAGAGGGATCAGGCCCTCAAGAAAATCAGCATAGAAGATGAGACACATCAAAATTGTAACTTGTGGCAAATTTGAAAAGAGCCAGGCCTCAAGATGGAGATGTGTTGGCCAGGCCTGCAAGCCTCACAAGTGATAAGCAGCAACTTAAGATCACACTGTAATTAGCACCACCTGGTCCAGTAGATAGGGCATCAGACACATAGGTGGGTGACCAGAACATCCAGACCCATACTGCCATCCTTTTCAAGAAATGCCTTTATTCTTTTTATGTTAGAAATTATACGTAAGCTAAAGTTAATGATGCTTACCATGTGCCTCACCTCCTTATTGGATCAATATTAGCTAAGCAACTACACTTGTAATCCTATAGGTTGATTGTAGTTTGACCCACAGCTACCCATGCTGCTATATAAAATACCTTTGACAAACAGCTCAGTGGCCACCCACTTGGGAGCCATCCTGGAATCCAGGAGCTATTCTTATTTCCAATAAAACTCTACCAACCCCTTTTTTTGGTTGAAATTTCATTCCTCAATGTTCTGAGACCACAAACTTGGTACATATGACAACAATACCTTTGGGAATACATTTACAAAATATTATTTCAAACTGTACCATAATCTACAGAAAGACACACAGTTTTTTAATACCTACCAAGAAAAAAGTCATTCTTTAAAGTAGCAAAGCTTTATGTTTATTAAAGGTAGGAAAAGAAACATGCTCTGCAGAGCAAGTGTGGATCAAATAAAAGTAGGAAGGACAATCACCCTACAGGTGAGAATAGACTACTGTGAGAGGACCCAGTAGCTAGAAAAATCACTGTTTGAATTAAATAATGAACTTTCTGTTTGAGTGTTAATACCATAAGTATGTTTTGCTGGACTCAGAGACACACACCTATAATCTCAGCTGCTAGGAAGGTAGAAGTAGGAGGATCACAAGTGCGAAGCCAGCTGCAACCTGCCTCAAACAATTTTTTTTAATTTAGTAAAGGAGGTACAGGAAATATAATACACCGAGCTTCTTGGAATTATATATTATATTTTTTGAGTGGGCTATGCAACTTGGTGGGCATTAAATTAATAGTGGAAAAACTAATGGTTTGCAGTTAATTATAGGCTGTACATTTGTTTATCCCACCTCCCACATGTTGACTTAGTATAAAAAATTGTCAGAAAAGGTGCGGGATGGTACATAATTGTAATCTCACAGTCTGTGAGGCAGGGGCAAATCCAAGCCTGCACAACTTAGCAAGACCAGCTCAAAATGTATAAAGGGCTGGGGTGTAAGCCAGTGCAACAGCCCTGGATTCAATCCTCAGTACCTCAAAACAAAACAAAAACTTGTCAGAATAGCTTGATGAGTTTGTGTTGCAAGAATGTAAATTAAGGGAGTGTGGTAAGTCAGTGAAGTTTTACCACATCATTGCAACAGCACAATTAGTACTTATTACACACCTACATGCTTAGGTTGTTATTCTAAGTAAGCCCTCCCTGTTTCAAACAAGTTAAGGCCTTATAATAAGAAAACTTTATCTCAACAACTATTGTAGTTAAGGTCCATCTTGATTCTAGCCCCAGTTAATAATGATACTGTATCATGACATAAAAAGAATAAAATGATCCTGGAAAGATGATGCAATTCGAAGTCCCATGGGAAGGCCTCACACGCTCCCACATAATCTTCTCCATCTATTCCTGTGCCTAACAGTCTATTAACATAGATTGATCCCTTTGAGCTCATTATTTTAAAATATTCTGAAGATAAGCAGAGTGTGGGAGTGGGGTAGTGAAACTAAAAGGGAATACATTCATCCCATAAGTAAGCTTTGCAGGAACCATACTCATAATACACCAGAAAATGGAGACTTGGATCAATGTAATCCTGTTATTCAGATTAAAGAAATAATAAAGCCACATAAACACTTTATCTGAAGTGAGATAACCCATAAAATAATATTTTAATATGTTGGCAGCAACACAATAGGAGGAAGAAAAGATTTTCAGTTATTAGATTATTGCTGAATTTTGCTATACACCAAGACAAAGGCATTTCTAGGATGCGACCACTGTGAGGATGTAGCTCAGTAGTACAGTGCTTTCCTACCATGTGCAAGACCCTGGGTTTGATCACTCACACTGAAAAGAAAAAAAAAACTTCTGGAATTGGTATAAAGAATAAGTGATATTTGTGATGATCAATGTGGGGGAGCAGAACACTGGAGAAATGATTATTCCTTAGTGAAATAAGAGGGAATCAGGGTGCTTGCAAAGCAGCCACGGTGCCACTGAGCTACATCCCTAGCTAGTGATGTAGATCCTTTTTAAAAAAAATTTTTTTGGGGGGGTACTGGGGTTCAAACTCCGGACCTTGGGCTTGTAAGGCAGTGAGCAGAAACAATGAGCTAAATCCCTGGCCCTAGTGAATCTTTTTTATTTTGGGAAAAACTAATATTGAGAGAGGGCTATGAAGAGGGCATGGAAAGGGGCT